TATTAGATTAGATTATATTATATTATATTATATTATACATTGCATATATACCGAGGAATTTTTTACCTCATACAACAGTTTGTCAGATGACCAAGATGTCTAAGCGTGTAGTTCATAGTTTTTTTTCTGGCACATAAATGACAAAGAACAGTTCAGTATCAACGTCTTCCGCAAATGACCATTGGAGCTATGCCTCTTGTTCTGCGCAAAAGCCATGTTTTCCTGGCAAGTGTGTGCCGTGCTCTGCCGAAACTACATTCCGGATTTGGTGAATCCTTTGTGTAATTCATCGGAATCGTGTCCAGTGTTTTTTCCACGGTTGCTGTGCCTTGGTCACAAAAAAATCTTTCCCAGTTTCATTAATGTCCCATTCAACTTCTGAATGTCATTTGTAGCAACAACGTTTATCTTTATTAGTGAGTTACTAACGAACAAGTGTCGTTGAACTAACCTCCATCCTATGGCTTTATATCTGTTTTGAATTATATCACTTTGTCGTTTCGTGACTATACGCTATAACTGGATATCCTGATTTCTGGATCATGTAAATGCTTGCTATAACACTTAACACTTGCAATTTGAAGGTTATTTCTGGTGACATTTCTCTTATTTTTTTTTACCGCCTTTGTGGCCGCTATTTCTCGTAGAAGCGATCTCGTAACTGGTTTGTTTTCCTTTTTTACGGCTGGACTCTACGCGCACGCAAACGTAGTTCATGATCAGACAAATGCATCACAATACGACAGGCAAGAGAATCCAGCTAAGCGCATTGATTTGGATTACTGAAAACTAATGAACTGCAAGTGATCTTCTTATTAGCATGGACTCATCAAACAAGAGTAAAAGCAAACATTAAGACTCGCCTAGAAATGTGGACAGCTCTGTTTTGACGTTCGCATCTCCAAATTTTTGATATCAGATCAATCCATGTTCATCACCATCATTATCATGGACATCATGACATCAGTGTTCAACACATACTCCGCTACCGCACAACCATAATTTACTTAAAAGCCTTATTGCGAAGGTAGAAATAGAAGCGGATAGGGATGGGATATAGTGCTAGCCTATCACAATCGCTCCCAGGTGCCTACACATTCAGACACGCATTCAGGCAATCTTGATAGAAACTGATAACGTGAATGCCGCTGGCATAGATTAGCAGCCGTATCCTGCAGCGTGTCTAACCACACATTGGCGCTCAAGTGGATTCCATCAAGGTTAACACGTATCTGATATTTTTAGTTTGAAAAGTGCAACTGATTTTCTATATATTCTGTCGCTTGGGTTTCTAACGTTCACTCTGTCTGTTTCAGTTGCATATGGGCTATCAACTTCATGGAGCCGTCACCTAAAAATGATGAATTTTCGAAGAGTGGCTACTATGACTGCCTGTCATAATTGGTGCAATCTAGCATGCAGCAGGCCACTAATTGAGTGGCTAAACATCCTCAAGCAGGCGCTGAAAAGGAGAGCTATAAATAAATGAGAATATTGGTGTCAAATTTAGATCTGACTACGTTACCGAGTGCTCCACTTCATGGAATGCGTAGACTTTCATCGAGGAGAAGTTGCAAATCTAGCGTTCGTCTTTTCACAGGGAAAATGACCGTGATGAAAAGGAAAATGAAAATGCTTATATACGGAAAATTTGCATTGTGTCTTTGCATCTATCTTGAGCCCGTAAAAACTTCCGTCAAAATAAAGGCATAGAGTAACACAGTGCAGTTTTGAATGGGGGACATCCCATGTGCAAATTGCATGTAACCTCAGCTTTCCGGTATTACAATATCCGGTGTAAAAGGCCTCATCCAACATTGGTCTGTCGGGCGGACATATCAGAGTGTCTTCTGAGTCCTGTAAGGGGACTTTCCAACTTTGCTAAGCATATTCTGATACATTTCCAAAACACGTTTAACATATACAAACCCTGCTCCACATGCCCTAGTTTTTAAAAGAAACAGCAAGAAAAGAGTTTGTTCCACATTGAAGTGAGCTTCAGGAATTGTAGCGAATTGGTAAACTTCAAGGAAAACGCTTTATGACGATGCGGTCGTCGTAATGAACCGGGTGCAACAGTAGTGGTAAGCAACCATTAAAAGGCGAACCGATTGCACTCTTCTACCAGAGTCCCGGGACTCGACTAATCACACATTCGGGTGGACTGTTCTTCAGGCCGCTAATCAGTTTTAGGTTATCCGTCATGCTAGATCACAGCTACAACAGGAGTCAATTCGGTTGCACAGTTGAGCGTCCGGTTACGAATGTCATGCTCACCCATGCCTCTTGTATGTAATTACATGGGAGGACCAATAGCCTATATCCAGTCTATCAGTTTCCTTCCAAGTCCGTAGAATGGTAGTTGTCACAAGCACAGTACAGCAAGCGAGTTAAACCGGATTTGTTTTAGTGCATCACCTGCCAACACTTCCCGTTTTCTTTGTTAACTGTGTGTGGAGGCAATTCCCACAGATGCTCGAACAGCGTTGATGCTTCACGTAATCCCGGGGAATATTAGTACGCAGTACACAATCTGGCAAACGATCAACATCTAACTGAAGCCGGAAGTGCACGTTTAGCTCGCGTATTTGATGATTCCAAATGGCGCTATGTTGTGTTTTGCTTTGTTTCCGCTCACCAATGTTCTCGGAAGCAATACTATTCGCTTCATGCTGCTCGTTTTTCTGAATGTGTGGAATGTAAACGAACTAACTGAGTAATGAATTTGCGTCTACAGTGGAAGATCCAAGAGCTGTTTGGGTCACATGAATACTCCATAACAAGCGATTAATTGCTGTAACCTTTTTGTGAGCTTATTACCTTTCTACTTGCTTGTAAAAACTACTGGTGGTAAATCAGTGACGAAAGACTGATTTTAAAAATTTGCTAGCGCTGAAAGATCGATTTTGTCTGGTTCCTTCAATGGCTCTTTAAATGAGGGTAACTTAGTCATGTTATCTATCTATTTCAGTGTGCGATTTGCCACTTAGTGAGAGCGAAGCTTCCAGGAGGGTACACTGAGTTCATTGTCCCTGTGCACCATTCAGATATCTGGTGCATTATTCAGTTTGCGTTCATTCGTCGAGCAACGAATTCTCCTTAGTGGAGAACAGTCGTAGTTCAAGCGAGTGCCGAATCAAGCAATCAGACCCAAACAACTGCTACTCTCATAAAAACATAGCTATAATGAAATATTTATCCAGATGGTCTGACATAATTGAGTATTTGATGGCAAACTGCAATGCAAACACAATCCAACTTTTAGCAGAACTGAGGCACTGAATGTAGTTTTACAGGGCTTGTCGCTCAGCTACATTACCAAATCCAGCTCCATTGAATGTTCCCTTCAATCGTCTGCCATTATTTTATACTTAGCTGTGTGGCTGTCGCCTTCAAATAACAAGTTTCTATTCTGAGTCTTGTGAACCATTCTCTGTTTACCACAGGAGAGCATGTCGACATCCAAGACAGAAGCCTGGGAGTATGCGTTCAACTTTGATTCGAAGTTTCATCTGAAGGAGAAAGGAACCGATATGGTGAGACGGCGTCGGTGGCACCGAAATCTGAAACAGAAACAACCCAGCAGCAGCACTGATTTTGTCATGCATCTGAGCATCGACAGCTCGCCAGAGGTAAGTTCTTCACAGGTGCACCTCTTGAATTGTTTATTTTTACCGTTAGCTTGCGTCCACTTGTATCAAGTCGGCGGCGAGCAGCTTCTTTTTCGTTGGTTTGCAAACGAGTAAGCCTTAACCACACTCCTAACTGGGGGGTGAGGACGGAAAAACGCTGATCAGTGGCCTGTATCAATGGAAATTTGGTGCTTACGTTTGGCCTGAACTAAGTAACCAAGCCTATCACTATTCCGACAGAAGAGTTTTTGCCTGGTGGAAAAAGAACAAAGTCCCCTAAGTGTGCACTCACTCGCGCGCCATTGTAATTAAGTCCCCTAAGTGTGCACTCACTCGCGCGCACACCATTGTAATTAGAAAAGCGATGGTTGGTAAAAATATTTATGTGTGGTTATATGGCTTCAAACTCGTGACTGGAGGTTTACATAAGCTAGAATATCAGCAATAACACTGAAATCTTCGTTACTGGCCAGCAAAGCTTATGAAACGAGCATTAATTGGAAGCAGACATGAACATGCTAACTGAACGATTAATTTTGGTTCGTGCATCCACTTCCTGTGATTCTAAAGCATTCGAATAACTACCGGCGCATCATCATCAAAGACAGCAACATCACTGTTGACACTGATGCTTCACTGCCGCACAATCATAAGGTTCGTCTAGCTATGTGCTGGCCTATGTCAAGCATACTGAGGTGCCTACACCTCCAACCGCTCAATCAGACAATCTGGAAAGAAACTGACAGCACAAACGCCACTGACATTGATTAGCCACCATTTCTTGCAACGTCTCCAGCCAAGCACAGGAGGGATCACAGGGACCCCATCCTGGAGGGCGCACTACACCAACGACACCCAAACTCTTCGTGATATCTTTCACGCCCTTCTGTCAAATCATTCGCTGTCCACCTCGCGGTTTGCGCCATTCTGTAGGAGGCAAGGAGAACAACACTGGTCCCGGGAGACGGTGTTTCGGCATGCGTATCACATGACCGGGACATCGTAGTGGATGATGCTGGAAGTTTTCCCGGATTGAGGTGCCTGCAGCACAACCAAATACCCGCTTTCCAATCACCACGTTACTAACACGCTGACGCCATCCAAAACCACCCATGCCTCTGAGGTATCGGTTCTAGAAAATTTGAAGACGCCTCACATTATCTGTCCGCAGAAGCTGTCTCGCACCCATACAACACAGCCCCTACTGTAGCCTGGTACACGATTCTTAGGATCTAGTAAGATACATTTTGACGCCACAGGTGACGCAAATTA